TATACTAGTAAGGTCTGTACCCACCCGCACTACATGAACACTAAATAATTATGTTATTATTGGCATAGCCAAGAACCATCTTTGACTCCCTAACATGTCAAAGAAGACCTACCACCCTCTGTAGCATGTTTGGGAAATAGAAGGATTTAAACAATTATCATCATTCATCAAAATGATTTGTAAAAAAAAGGCTAATTCAAATTATTGAAAATAAAAATAAAAATTGATTATTATTTCATTTTTTATTAATGATTAATTATAAAAAAATGTTATACTTTGAACGTAAATTAAGAGAACAGTAGTCTATGAAATGATTATTGGATCAAAATTAATTGGAATTGTTATGTAATCGTGATTTACTCTGTATAGTATATTTTAAAAAAATAATAATTTAGTAATATCTTTGGAGGGTTCGTTCTTTTTGAATTTAGAAATTAAAAATTTTCTATAGAAAACCATGAAAAATTAAAATTTTAAATCTCAAGATTATACGAGTATTTGTCATTTTAGAGTAAAATATCAAATAGAATTCAACGCAATACTATAAATAAAACTCATCATACATTAATAATGCTTATGCTTTAAGTATGAAGTAAGTATTGTACTTGTATATGTGAGTTTTCGACATCTACTAAATATTAAATATTAATATTACAGTTTTTGAAAAAAAAATGCTGTAGAAATGTAATTTTAAAAGCAAATAAATAAAAATGTAATACTATTATATGAAAATTTCCAAATTTTCTTAGTATTATTAAAAGTCATACAATGTGGTGTCAAGTTTAATATCGTAGAATATACAAAATTGTTGTGTATGAATCACTTAATAATCGTATGGTAAGTATTTTCATATAAAAAATGTAAATTCATAGTGAAAATGGCAAAAATAAGAGAGTCTTATTGTTACTAGATAGAACAGGCGTTTCTAAAAGTAGTACTTAATATATAAAACTCTATTGGCAAGTCAATTATTTAGTTTGTGTAATATATAGAAATATTTAAAATGTAATAAAAATCGAGAGAAGGGTTTGTATAAAGTAAATATATTTCCCGCTTTAAAAAATATTTTATATAACAATAAATATATTTTTTTAAGTGTAATGCGGAGTACGGAGAGGAATAAGAACTAAAAACCCTTGAATATAACCTATGAAAATGATCTGGCCGTATCTATGCTGGCGATTTTAAAATTTTCTTTTTTCAATTATATCACACAATTCAATGAAAAAATGGATACATTGTGTTAATAATCGTAAATACATGCAGTGTTATTCGTTTCAAAAAGTTGACATGGCCTACTTTTATGTAATTATTATTAGGTAACTATAAAACAACGTGAAACCACCATTCAAAAGGTCTTAAAAATATAATTTTTCAGTGGTAAAATTATTTATTCAAGAAATATTATATAAAAAGGCTATTAAAAATTTAAAAACATAGCAGTAATTAAATTGTATCATGTACTTATTGAAACATAACAATTTATATTCTTAATAAAACGTAATTATATAATTCATTAATGATGACTGGTTTACAACCATGTTGATTAATTACTTTCGTATTTTTTTGATATTTAATTTCGAGATAATTGCAAAATCAAGCAGTGTAAGACTATTTAAATTTATATGAAATGAGTTGTGACAATTTTATTTGTCTTTAACAATGTCTTACACTATTATAACTATAGATGTACTTGATACCGTTTTCGTTAATATTTTACTTATTTAATTTTTTTGTTAAATGTGAATTTAAAAACTATACTAAATCTTCGTTTGCAAAATTAAAATATCATTTTAATAACATAGTCAAAAAGAAACGTTATTTCTCCATCAAATATGCTAACGACGTTTCAGTGAATCTGAAGATTTTGCGATTTAAAATTTATTTACAGAAAAAATTACTAAAAAGTAATACTAAATAAATTTGTATACTTAATTCGATTATTTATTGAAAAAGCAACTCTGGTAAATATTTTAAAATAGCGTAAATATTAAATAAGTTTAAATTAGTTTTTGAGTTGTTATATTTATTTTACTTCGAACACAGTGTAACATTTTTAATAAAAAATATGCACTATTTTCTTGACAAGAACTGAGTTGATAAGAATTTGTGTTTTCAAAATTGCAACTTAAAATAAATAAAGTCTTATTTATAGAATTTCAACAATATTTTTTTTTATGTTTTTTATAACTCATGTGTAATTACAGAATTGACAAGCCAAGCTCAAGATAACTAGGCAAATAATTCACCCGTGGCGTATAAAACCCATACTGTAGAAAACAGATGTTACTTGATAGATGGTGAAATATTATGTATGATGAGAATTTAATGATAATACACAACGAAAGTAAATAAAAAGTAATCAATATCAAAAAAATAAAGATTGCCAATCGATTAAATATCAATAACTTTTTATGCGATTTTATTATATACAAAACAATAATTAAATAGCTTAATGTAACAACCAGATAAGTCAATTTTTTTAATTTTTTAGGAAAAGAAATTTTATCAACGTTTTTTCATAAAAGTAATGGTAAAATGTTTTTTCTAAATTATATATCTTCACGAATAATAGGAATATAGACTCGTTTTAATACTAAATTACGCAGAAAAATTATATTTATTTAAAATTAATGAAAAGTTATTTTTTGAAAAAGTTGGACTTATTTGTTTGACGCACCAAGCACTTCCATTTTATCAATATTATCTTAATAGTTTTTTGTGAATAAAACTAAAGACTGATGAGTTCATTTCATTGTAATTTTTACTCACTTCTATATTACTATTAAATTACATTAACATATTTAAATTAAAATATTTTCCTCACTAATGTTTAACTTAAAATCTATCGTATTTCAATTTTTAAGTTGTTCGTAATGGTAATAAAAGTATCTTAAAACTAACAATTTTAGTTATTTTGCTAAGCTATTTTTACATAAATATTTACACCACGTATAAAAAATATGTTAACTATTTGAACAATGTATCAAATCATTATAATACTACTGTGCACAATTTATACTCAAAGTTTTTTCATACTTTTGAATAAGAAAATTTTTTTAATACTTTGAAGTTTGATCTATTATGATCAGGTGAAAAAATGTAATACTATAATGATGTGCTAGCTATACTACCAGCACATACAGTTAAAAGTGTAAACACATGTTTTCTTATTAAAGTATGGCTCTTATATTTTAAACAAACAACGATAAATAAAATTTATGATGTCGTTTCTATAGTCATCTTGACATGCAGTGTCGCTCTTTCATGTAGACTTTGTATTATGTTAAGAGGGAATACCCAAAAATAACCATAAATACCTTAATATCATCGTAATACGACATATCAAAAATACTATTAAAAATATGTATTCAAAACGAATCGGATTTATCATGTGTTGCAATATTTATGATGTTAAGCATTTTATTTTACATGAAAGTGTCTATTTTTTCATAAAAATAAGGTTTTAGTTATCATACATTAATCGAAAAAATATTAATAAAACAGCATTGGTCTTGGTGATGGTCAATAGTATCTTTACTATAATACTGCATACAAAATAATTTTTTTAACACTAGCGTCTCAATTTTTCTTAAAATACTTTATGAACTTTTTTTTCACTTTTATTAATTGCATATGTATCTCCATTTATCTGTTATAAAATATTTTTTATGTTCATGCCTTTTGTCTTATAGGGGTGTCAACTTTATATTTTTAAATGGAAACATACATATTTAACTAACTCTGTATATGAAAATTTCTGTAATAATTATTAAAAAGTTTGTATATAAATAAATAATAACCCAGACTACATTTTTTAAATAAAACAAAACTATTTTATAAATTTTCATATTAAATTTAATTTTCTTTAAAATAGTTATGAATTCACTTTTCGGTGTTTTTATTGTTATTTTCTTTGACTACAAACTTCTTTCGACAAAAAAAAATAAATCTTCTAGCGCTTAATTAATGAGCATTCTTAAGCGTTATTTAGAAAGTTGTGTCATAAACATTGTCTACTTTAAAGTTCAGTTTAACATTGTCAGAAAATTTAACAGCTATTTAAGTCTTACTCATAACAATCAAGAATTTACGCATGCTATCAAAAAGAAAATATACAATAACACTTTGATGCGAATCCAACTGAATTTTCAATTATTATTATCAAAGAGAAATGGCAATGTTGCGATTTGGGTCTATATTACACTTATGAGTTAATTTATTTGTCAATACTCTTAAAAATTCTTAAATACATATATGTAATCCTCTCAGATCTCATCATTTTGTAGTATCATAATCATAGGTACAACTAAATCTATATTATAGAGATGCTAAAAAAGGTATGATAATCCTCCAGATCTCATACATTTATATGGTTAATATAAGTGCGTTCAATGAAAACAAAGATTACAGTCATTATCGTTATCTGCATACACATATAAATACATTTTGACGTCTATGATGATACGTCAAAATATAAATTTATTTTGCTATTTTTTTAAAAATTATAATTTTGACATCAATAAAATTAAAAAAAATTAGAACATTGTTTATATCAATATTTGTACAACCAAATTAAGAAATGCGTTCTAATTTGTTGGGGGTAGCTAATGTTCCCCTCGCACCCTCCTCTTGGTTAGTCATAATTTATAATCTTATCAAGACAAATTTAAATTCCTTTAATTGCGATTTCTTTAAAAATTTTGAAATTCTATACACAAGTTGGCTTGAGATCGTTACTTTCAGCTGGTAAAAAAAAACTGTACCCTTACAATACTATAAGGTTTGAAAATTATTTAATTAACTATTAAGAAATAGAGTAAAGTGGTAATTCAAGAATAAAAATTGGCATTTTCTTTAAAATAATGTATTAATAATCACTCAATTAATTTATTTTAATACTCATATAAAGTGTAAAACCTTAGCTTATTTTTAATGATGCATAAAAATATGATAAAATTTTATCTAAAGCTTTCCTTAAATTCTTGTTTAATTGTTACCTGTGGTATTTTAAAAAGACGAAGTAAATTTGCTACTTGAACAGACGTGACACTTGAAGCCGCACCAACAACACCCGATATTACTTTTTTCACTTGTGATTTGTTACAATGAGAGTATTGAGTGTCATCTATGTTACTAATAGAACCTGAAAAAATTACAGTTTTTAATAAACAAGGTCTCTAGTAATTTATTTAAGTTTCTACTAAAAACTTGCAATTTTCAATAAAGTATAAAAAAACATTGAAATATTATTACATAGGTTAATTTAGTATGTTATGTAAAATGTGTCTATTAAAACAAATACTCAACATGCCTTGTGCCCTATTTCTCACAAAGTTTTGTGCATATTTCTGAATTGATGTTAGGAAACAAAAACTTGGATTAACTGTGTTTTATTGTTGATGAGTTCATGTGAAACATTTATTAACAAATTTAATTAATTTTATAAAACTGTAGTGTGTTGTAATTCAAGAGTATTTAAATATTTCAAAGGCAAATAAATACAGGTGCAATTATTAATCAAAAACGTAATTATATGTTGTGTTTATAAAGTATATAACTATATAGCATATACAAATTCTCATATACCAGTACATTTTATAAATAAATGCTAATACAATATAGAGTTTTATCATTTATTTCAGTTAATATTAAAAAATTTTTAATTAATAAAAAATAAATGAACTTCGTTCGTAACATATTAAGAATATTTTCGTAGAGTAGTATACAGTGTCATTTATGAATCAAGGCTATAATTTTTTTATTTCACATATAAAAGCATGTAGTTCTGATAGTCCTTTAATAATAATTATTAAATTCAATATGAGTATTAAATTTTGGCGATGAATTAACAAGCAATGAATTGACCGCCGATTAATTAAACAACGCAGTTAATTAATTGAAATCTGTCATTAATACGTCAGTTCACAATGTGTATTTACTCAAAGTGGTACAAGAATTCAAAGCAATTGATAAATAATAGTCTATTTAAAATGTGTCAATACTGTAAGCAGATTACAAAATTTACCCAGTATAACGCCAATAGAATATTACATTTCATTGACACTATATATGCTAATATATACATAATGTAATCACCGTGAGTATATTTTTTACTAATTATTATAATTCACAAATATTCTATAATTAGTAAGCAAAGTTTAAATTTATTTTCTTTGATCAATTAACGATTGATATGAAATCATATCATTCGTTATATTTGTAAAACAATAACAATAATTATATTGTTTTGAATACTACACACTGTCCTAGTAATGTATACGTTTTTATTTCGTCATTCCAGACATTGTTGGTATAGTTACAAAAACAGTAAAAAAAGTACTCCGAAAAATGTATCTCTTTTTATAGCAGTTAAGCTTTTATTTATGACATTAAAAGCCCAATAAAATATTGACAAACTTTCGCGGAGTAAAACATAAACGTAAAAAAGCATGCACATGTTGCACATGGATAGAAACAATACATACACACGTATGTTGTTTTAAAAAAAATCTCAATGTAAATTTATTTAAAAATATTTCCTAAAGAAATATTAAAATAACACAATTAAAATCATAATCACGAAAAAACGGAGAGATAAATTTTTATGGAAAATAAATCCAAACATAAACTTTGGCTTGAGACTAAAATAAAAAAAAACATTTATTCAGTGAATATATATATATATATATATATATATATATATATTTGTTTTAAATATACTATTATTTACTCAGCATGAGAGTAAATACATCTTACGATAAATCGACTAAAATGAATTTTTATTTTTTTAACTAATCATATTTTACAAATTGTGACACATCGCGGTATTACTAGCAAAAAGTATAAGGCTTTGGTAACAATAAATAAGTAAAGAAAATAAACAAAATAATAATCTAATTTTCAATTTGCCCTTAATATATAGTATATACATTCAATTATATTAGGGTACTTTACGTGGAAAATACTTGCCTATTTAGCGAACACCATTAAAGAGACACTTCATAGTGGCACGTAATTTTATTTTATTTTCAACTCGCTTTTAAAAATATTAACTTAATGGCAATGGAAATTAATCGTATATCTTTTGAAACAGATTTAAAGGATTGTTAAACAAAATATCAAAGAAATTAAAATCATGTATGTATGTTAAAACAAAATAATACTAGTTAAAATAAACTCTCTTATTTGAAGTTTTAGAAAACACACAGAAAATCAGTGCGATATATTTTTTATTCCATTATTATTAATCACTTCATTTATATAAATAGTTTCATTTCATTACTATTTTTCTTTAGCTAAAACGTGATGAAGTATGACTTCGACATATTCGAAGTTTTAGTTATATATTAGAAAGTTTATTAAGTGGAGTAACTATAGTTATAATTAATTATTGTTGTAAAGTATCACATTCTATGTAAATAAATAATTTTAAATTTTATTACGAAAAATAAATATTTGTAATAAATCATAACACATAATCGAAATTTATAGATGACACAATTTATACATAAATTTATATTATTAGTATTAAAAGAAATATATTGTATAAGAATAAAGATATTAAATAAGAATTACGATATTTATTGTAAATAATTAAATAGCAATTCAAAGTAATACAGTAATATTTATTTTATAATCAATATATTTTATAAAATTTAATATAATAAATAGTATAAAAACTACTTGAAAGCACTTGATTACTGTACATTGCAATAATTAAATAAATCAGTTGATTGCTTCATTCTATTATACTTAACTAAAATGATTGACATAGACGAAACAACAGTCCGGGCTAGGACTTGACCAAGTGGAGTTCACAAGAATAATGAATGTCAGAAGATTGTTCAACTTAAACTATCATAATGCAAGAATTTTATATGTCAAAATAATTATAATAAATAAAGGACTAAGAGGTTTACAGAACACTGTGTTAGAAAAAAATTCACTATAATTACCACACCAAAAAATGTTTTAGCTGCGATGCAAAGCTGTGAGAAGGTATTAATTTTATCATGATGTGTTTATTTTTTTTTTTTTGTGTCTGTCATTACTTTTTCTCAGCTATCACTGGACTGATTTTTCTCAACAATACGCCAAAAGATCCATATTCCTATCTAGTTGAAAATATTACTCTCAAAAATTAAAACTTTTCCCCTTTGTTTCCCGTAAATAGAGAAAATCCCCCAAAAAATTACGATTTTTAAAATCGGTAATCTTCGACATTTTTTAGCTTCGATGCGAAGCTAAAAAAGTTTTGGTTTTACTATGATGTGTTTTTTTTTTTTTTTTGTGTCTGTTACCACTTTATCTCAGGTCTCACCAAACCGATTTCTTTCAACGATACATCAAAAGATCACAAAACGTATCTAGTCCAAGACATTATCTTCAAAAATTCAAAAAATTTCCTTCGTTCCCCGTAAATGGGGGAAACCTCAAAAAAATTACAAATTTAAAAATCGTTAATTTTCGAAATTTTTTCAATTTTTTTTCTTAAAACTGCCATAACTTTTTCAAAAATGAACAAATAAATATATATATTTTTTTTTTCATAGATGCATCATGTCTTTGCCTATCATCTGGTATATTTTTTTTATAAATTTGACCCTTTATCTGCCCATAAGAAGGGTTTAAAAACACAACTTTTTCACGAAAAATTAACTTTTTAAACTTAACTTATGAAAGTGTTCCGGAAAGTTTAACACTTTTATATATATCTTAAATTAAAGCTAATGTAATATACTTTATTATGGAAAAAAAAATTCGGACTTTATTTTGTCTTTACGATGAAAATAGCTACCAAATAATATTTTTGTGTGAAAATTCTGGATTTTATTTTTTACATTTTTAACTTTATAATGCTATATCTTATTGAAAAGTGTATGGATCAATAAAATTTTTTTATAAGAAATAATATTTACATGCCTTTTTCATTCGACATACTTTATCTTAATCAAGATATTAATAAGGAAATATCAAATCATGAAGCTTTTGAAATAATCCACCAATTTTTTAAAATTAAACACTATTTAAAGATTTGCATCGAAGCGTTTTTTGATAGTAATTTTATCACTGTCAGATATCATTATACTTGATCTAACTATGCCACGTCACCACTGTTCCGTGACCCCCCTGTGCTGGGTTTATTATTTTTATTTTTTCTTAAAATTACCATAACTTATTGAAAAATGAACAAATCATAATAACTCTTTTTTTTATTAAAACCTTAGATATTTCCTTTATACTTAATATAATTTTTTTGAAAATCTGCCCATAGGGGAGGATTCAAAATAGCAACTGGAGCACAAAAATTTAATATATTCAATTTATTTTAATATACCTTATAATGAGATACACTGATTTTCATGGATATTATATAAAACTAATTGACATAAAATATAAAGTTAAACTTATTTCAATATTTTTTTCTTTTGAAACCACACGTTTTAAATGTAATACTAAATAGTCTCTCATTTTATCAATGTTAATGATTGTTACGACCACTCATAAGTGATCTTTTAGAAATATCATACTCAAACACTTTTTAATATGCTATTACTACATTGGTTAGACTATTTTTAATATCAAATCTTGGAATAAAAACTAAAAGGTTTTATTTCCATGGATATTATACAGAGTTATTCAGTAAGTAAGAAAACAGATCAGTTGTTGCAAACAATGAAAACAATAGAAACCCGTTTCCTTACTTACTGAACACTGTTTATTCATGCGTATATATATTATGCTCTTGAATTCAAATTATTACAGTACTTAAGACTGAAAATCAATTTATATAACTAATATCTTCTTTAATTTTAAAATATAGTGGCTTTTTAATTATCCATAACCTTTTGATATTTTTAAAAGTTTATTAAAAAAAATTAAAAGTTTATAGCGTTTAAACTATTAAAAATAAATTATAGTAACTTCTCATTGTACATCTAATAGTCAATTTAATCATAGCAAGACCGTGTGTCACTAGTTAAAATAACTTTGAATCAGTGTTAATTTAACAATTACAGATTAAGTTTTGAAAATCATCACCGTACTCATATTACTTCAATATAATTCTAACAACACCACTCTAACTATCATAATTATACAGAAATTAAAAATTGTTTTTACAGAGTATGGCAAGGTTTTTTT